TGGCTGGCTGGGGAATTCTGGGAGTTGAAGTCCACTCATCTTAAAGTGGCCAAGTTTGGACAACACTGCCTTAGACAGAAACAAATCTTACCTGGGAAGGAAGGGGGTTTATCTCTAGGCAAAATGGTTCAAAGGAAACCTTGTGCCCTGAGCATAGGAATAATAACTTGAAATATCTCTATATCTATACTAGGGCTGTGCTGTGGTTGGGATCCAATTTGGAAGAGAGACTTAGTAGTGCATGGGAGCATAAACACAATATCTGGGCACCTGTCTGGGATTCATTACAGCAGATGCAACATTTTCCAGGATTGTATGGATCCTACAGGCGTCTTCTTCAGTTGCATGATCCTGGAAACAGATGTGGCTGCTTAACTGAGTTGTAAACAGATGTGGCATTCATCCTCATTCCAAAACACCACTTCTGAACTGATTCCAGGGCATTGCACAGCCGTAATCTATATCTTTACCTATCTATATGTATCTATTCATATATACATTACTATACCTGTATTTCGAGTTCCAGGCTCCCCATTCTTTGCATAGTAGCAGATTCTTCTTTATTATTTTAATTGGGCTGGAAGTCAGCAATAACAAATATAAGTTTTCATGCTGTGGCTAATACTAAACCCTTAAGGTAGTTTGCTGCAGGTAAATGGAGAAGTTAAAGTCATAATACTTAAGGGCTACCTCCAAAATAGCAGGGCAGATGGACTTCTCACTAATACAACTAATGCAGTTTGTGCAAACTAATGATGTTTGTGGTTTACATGGATTTGGATCGTTTCACCGCAATCTGACCTTGCTTTTCAATTTTTCTTTAAAAAAGGCTGTGCACAAAACCCATTTGGCTGGCAAGATTCTAGTATCTAATTTCCTCTGCCTCAGATGACCTTGGTATATTAGACTTATACCAGTTTTGAAGTTGAAGAAGGAAGTGAAGATTATGAGGAGGTATTTGGCAGTTGGGGGCTTTTAGGTACAGTAATGACTGCAGGGGGATCATTAAGAAGAGGGAGTGGACACTCTACTAGCTTGCAGACCATTCCCCCCCCCCCAGATCTGTTGCTAGGGATTAGATTAACTCAAGAAGCAACTTCTCTCCAAAAGAATCTCCTGCCAAAGACCCTTCATTTTTTCCAAACTTCACTGCTTCTTTGTGTAGGGAGAAAGAGTCTGCTGCTCTGGACAATGAAAAACCTGGAGTAATCAGTAGATTCTGCTTTTGTCAGAATGATGAAAGCAACACTGAACCACAAGCTCTGCTCTTTTGGGTATGTATGGAACAATGGAACAAAAGCAGAAAAGGGACAGAGTTTTCAGCATGACACCATTGATAGAATCTGCCTTCCTGTCACCCTTAGTAGTGTGGTTGCCTGCTTCTATGTAGTGGAGAACAGCAGCTGTCGTACTTCACTTTCCTAGATAAAATGGACTTCTGC